CCTGTTAACAGGATTCTTGGTCCCCATATCTAGGGAAGCTCTCACTTGTCTAGCTTCCTCTCCAGCATGCGGAGGCAACTTGTTTCGAGCAGTCTAGGTCCACATCATAGAAGCCAGTCTTCTTAAAACAAATTCCAGGTTGCGCAGGGATGGGTGGGTGTTGGGAAGACTTGCTGTTTACAGGGCTTAGGGTTAGGGTGTAGGGGGCAGCTGTCCCCTCTCTCAGAGCATAGACATTACAGGAGTGCCTTGGTAGATGGGGTACCCACGCAAGCCGGTGACCCCCCAAAATCCTCCAGCCCATCCATGGTAGTGTCCCAGATAGGTGAACCCAATACAGACCCCCAAATGCTATAATCCTTTATTATGGGACCCCGAAAGGGGACCCCTCATTTTGGGAACCCCTAAACCCAAAATATCATTACATATCCCCCTGTATCCCCCCAAAAAAGTACTTGGGAACCCCACCCCCACCATATTTTGTGATGTACAAGGCTACCCTTGTTTTGAAAAATGCCGAAAAACTGGCAGATGTTCGGCCTGTCTTCCAAATCCATCTGGTGGATTAGCTCGAAGCAGGTCTGGTCCTTGGAGTTCACAGCCCCAATGCACTCCTAACGGGTCCAAAAAATGAAGAACTTCAGTAAAAGACATCCTATACCCGGAACCCAGGAACATAAAGGGCCCAGACCCCCTAAAGGATCCAAAAAATGGAGCCCACTCAATCTGAATCCATCACTACATTGGGGAAACTAGGGGATTATTAGGGTGTCCTTTTTTGGGATCCTTTATCCTGAGCCCTACACCCTAGACCCTACACCCTAAACCCTGAACCCTAAACCTCAACCTCCGTTTTTGGGATCCTTTAGGGGGTCTGGGGTGGTGTTGTTGGAGCTTTCAAGGAGTCCTTCAAGGTGGGCTCTCAGAAAAGACTTGTCGCCACAAAGGTGTTTGACAAAGGGGAAGAAGTGAAAAGGGGGAGTAGCAGTAATAGTAATATCGTAGTAGTAATAGTAATAGTAATAGCAATAGCAATAGCAATAGCAATAGTAATAGTAATAGTAATAGTAAAATAATAGTAATAGTATTGGTAATAGTAAAAATAATAGTAATAGTAAAAATAACAGTAATAGTAATAGTAAATGGTAAATGGTAATGGTAATAGTAATAGTAATAATAATAATAATACTAGTAGTAGCAGTATAGTAGTAGCAGTATAGCAGTAGCAGCAGAGCGCGGAAGAGTCCGGAAGAGTTCGGGAGAGTTTGGAAGAGTTCGGGAGAGTTCGGAAAGTTCAGAGTTCGGAGAAGTTCGGAAGAGTTCGGAAGAGCCCGGAAAACTTCGGAAGAGTTCGGAAGAGCCCGGAAAAGCTTGGAAGAGTTCGGAAGAGTTCGGAAGAGTTCGGAAAAGTTCGGAAGAGTTCGGGAGAGTTTGGAAGAGTTTGGGAGAGCTGCGAAGAGCTCGGGAGAATTCGGAAAGTTCAGAGTTCCGCGATTAAGTGCCCGGAAAAATTCGGAAGAGTTCGGAAGAGATCGGAAGAGCTCGGAAGACTTCGGAAGAGCTTCGAAGAGCTCGGAAGAGCTCGGACGTGCAATTTTTTGACAAACTGCTTCTGCTGCTGCTGCTGCTTTTGCTGCTGCAGGTGCTGGTGCTATTGGTACTACTGCTACTACCACTACCACTGCTACTGCTGCTGCTATACGACTACCTCGCGATACCGAGACTGGACCAACAGCCTCGCCCCTGCCTTGGCATGGATTCAGACGTTCGGATTCGGAAGAGCTCGGTAATCAATCTTTACACTTGAAACGATCCCACCTCTTGCCTTGCCATGCTACAGCCTGTCACGTAATTCGTTCATGTTCAAAGTCCTCGCATTCTGGCTGTTGAAACTCGTCGCGCCATCAGAATCTGTCGGCCAAGCGTGTTCAAAACAACACTTCTCACCAGTTGGTCTGCCATTTCCGCATGTTCACAACAACGCTTCTTGAACCCTTTCCATGCTAACGCCCAGCCCTCGGAATGCATAAGATAGCCTATTTCTCTCCCGAACACACCCTCGTATACCCTCATACAAAATCTAAAACAATTTTTGACCGGAAAATGAGCCCTAGCTTAAGCATTCGGCGAGCTGGAATATGTACATATATGGTATACGGATTTGCTGCAGCCAGGCTTCCATGGCTGTCTGCTCCCACCAGGGGTGCTGCATCACAGGGCTGCGACCAAACGTCATCCAGCGAACTTTCTGGAAAAATGCCCTTGGCTGCAACAAATAAGCCCCTAAACCCTAAATCCTA